AATGCATGTGTGTGTGAATATTTGCATCAGTGTTATCAAAGGACTTACGCACGCAAGGAGTAACTAGACGAAGCCATGTATAAAAAGTCCCTCCCCACCAGAGAGGCCACAAGAATGCCCAGTGGTTTTAACTATAGATACCGGAAGGAGGTCCCCCTCCCACCCCCACCCCAGTATCCCCTGAGTGGACCTGGGAGGGAAGAGAGAGACGAGAAGTGGCGTGGCCCAGAGCTGCCTTTTTTGACATTCTGCATGTCTAGTCTGTGGCTCAGGCAGGCACAACCCCAACCAGTCCTGGAACTGTGGGCAAGACCCTCCCCCACCTCTGAGCCTCCGCACTGAATTTTTGCTGGGAAGTGAGACCTGCCATCCCAGATGGCCCACCCGCAAAGTCAGTGCACCGGCTGGACAAGCTGGCCCAGGCTGGGCTGAACCAGATGTCTTCGCCAAGGACCCTCGAGCCTCCCAGGCTCCCCCAACCCAGACACAGACATCCTTCAGCCCCATTTTCCTTCTGATGATTGTCCTGATGTGAAGAAGGGTGATGAGGGAGTATGCAAACCTTAGAATGAATCACAATTTACTCAAGAAACGAATCTAAGTCAGATATGAGTGGGAGCAGAAGCAGAAACTTACAGTAAATGCCCCTCCTTCCGGCACTCACTGCTCTCAAGCTGAGTAACGCGGCTCCCTGACCCCAGAGTGCTGGTGCCGCCCCAGGAAGGGATGGCCTGGATTAAGACAAGCCAGCCCCTCCTTCCACTCCTTCAGAGTCCCCTCCTCTCCAGGTCCCCTCGTCCTGCCACCCTGCAGGATTTGAGCAGCCCTAGAAATATCCTCTCTGCAAAACAAAACCAGAAAGTCTCTCTCGCCTTTTGCCACTCCCTGAAATTCCACCATTAGCATTCCACTCTATAGGGTAACTAGCTAAGCTTTTAAAGTTAAAATGCCAGGCGGAGGAGTGACACATAGAGCTTTTCTATCACCCCAGCTAAAATTCTTTGAGACACAGTCTCACTTTGTCACCCAGATGGGAGTGCAGTGTCTCAATCTTGGTTCACTGCAACCTCTGCCTTCTGGGTTCAAGCGATTCTCCTACCTTAGCCTCCCAAGTAGCTGGGATTATAGGCACCTACCTGATTTTTGTACTTTTAGTAGAGACGGGGACGGGGTAGGGGGATCTCACCATGTTGGCCAAACTGGTCTCAAACTCCTGGCCTCAAGTGATCTGCTCACCTTGGCCTCCCAAAGTGCTGGGATTACATGCATGAGCCACCGCATCCAGCCCCAGCAAAGATTCATTTATGAGAACCTTCTGGGTCCCAGCCTGCAGACTAACCCAGAGCAAACCTGCTTACATCTGGTTGGAACTCGGGGTGCGTGGATGTAGGAGGAAGGCTTGTTTGACCTTAGTACCGACTGGCAAGGAACATGATGTTGGGGGAATTCTAAGTCTACAGAGTTCACAGGAAGGCTTGGGCTTCCCCCGCCCCCAACCCCACCCCGTGGTGCCTGGATGAAAAGGACGTGGAGCCAGAGGGGAATAAATTTTTCTCTGCAGATATGCACCAGTTAATCCTGGGTCAGATTACAAAAACACAGTCGGGCAAGACAGTGATATGAATCGTCAGAGGCTCTTTCTCAGATGGTGACAGCCAGCAAGAAAGCATCCCCGCCTCAGAGTACCAGGCGAAAAATGATGGAGTCTTGGGAAAAATCAAATAAAGACAAAAAAATAATTTCAGGATGGACACAGTGGCTCATACCTGTAATCCCAGCACTTTGGGAGGCCCAGGCGTGTGGAGCACTTGAGGCCAGGAGTTCAAGATTAGCCTGGCCAACGTGACGAAACCCCATCTCTACCAAAATTATAAAAATTAGCTAGGCATGGTGGTGGACGCCAGTAATCCCAGCTACTCAGGAGGCTGAGGCAGAATACCTAGAACCTACCTGGGAGGCAGAGGTTACAGTGAGCTGAGATTGTGTCACTGAACTCCAGCCTGGGAGACAAAGTAAAACTGTCTCAAAAAAAAAAAAAAAAAAAAAAAATGTGGGTTTTAGGCCAATGTGTAATCCTAGCACTTTGGGTCGCCGAGGCGGGTGGATCACCTGAGGTCAGGAGTTCGAGACCAGTCTGGCCAACATGATGAAAACCCTCTACAAAAATACAAAACTTAGCCAGGCCTGATGATGGGTGCCTGTAGTCCCAGCTACTTGGGAGGCTGGGACAGTAGAGTCTCTTGAACCCAGAAGAGAATGGTTGCAGTGCCGCTTCACTCCAGCCTGGGCAGCTGAGTGAGACTCTATCTCAAAAAAAGAATTTTAAACTCAAGGAAATTCAAGCCCTAATTTGGGATTTTTTTATTTTTAATAATGAGCTTCCTAAACCTTTACTGGGAAAAACAGAAGTGGAAGAAGGCTTGAGAGGCCAAAGGGAGTACTGTGTTGAGCAGGCAGCCCCTTCCCCAAGGACATGCTGACTCGTGCCAAGAAATGGCCTATTGCCAGAGCCCAGAGAGACGCTCAGCTTCCCCAGCAGGTGAGAAAAGCAAATTAAGGCAACAAGGATAAAACCCTTTTCACTAATCACATTGAGAAAAATTAAAATGCTGATAAGATCAAATGTCGGTTAGGATGTGGGAAAGTTACTACTCTCTTGCACTGCTGGTGGGAGGGTAAATTGTCCAGCCACCCTGGAAAGCAGCTCAGTGGTGTCTTTCAAATTCAATGCACTTTCACCCTGCAACCTCAGTATTCTCTTCCCAGCCTCTTGTCTAGGAAAGAATCACACACATCCATTTCCAAAAGCACCCATATAGGGCTGTGCATTGTAATAGCACACCAACAAATAAAGAATAATGGCGAAACCTTTTCACCCAACCATCCAGGACATAAATAAACTATGAAACATCCCACTTGGTAAAAGACCACGTGGCATTTTAAAACTTTGGCAGATAATCTGTAAGTTTCAGCATGGAAAGCTCACCAAGATGTCTCACAGACATCATAAAGCCAAATGAAGAGCCATATATACCATAAGGTACAGTATATGAAAAACTCTATATATTTCTATAAAAACAATATAAATATGGACATTCGTTTACAAAGGTCTGCAAAGGAAACGTGCCAAATCAATTATGGTGGTGACATCTTTGAAGGGATCAGGACAAGGAGGTGTCAAGAGACTTGGCTTTATCTGTAGTGTTTATAGTTTTGCTTTGAGGATATATTTACATATTCCTTGTGCAATTAAATATATAGTATTTTTATTTAAAAAGGGGTATGGGAGGCTGGGTGCAGTGACTCACACTTGTAATCCCAGCACTTTGGGGGGCTGAGACCAGAGGATCACTTGAGGTTGGGAGTTCGAGACCAGCCTGACTAACATGGTGAAACTTCGTCTCTACTAAATATACAAAAATTAGCCAGGTGTTGTGGTACACACCTGTAATCCCAGCTACTTGGGAGGCTGAGGCAGGAGAATCACTTGAATCCAGGAGGCAGAAGTTGCAGTGAGCCAAGATCCTGACACTGCACTTCAGCCTGGGCAACAAGAGCGAGACTCCATGTCAAAAAAAAATAATAATAAATAAAAGGTAGTGGGGTATAGGAGTTTAGGCTGCAGTGAGTTATGATCGCACTCCAGCCTGGACAACAGAGTGAGACCCTGTCTCTAAAAAAAAGTGGAGGGGGCTTCACTCTACAGAACGGAAGCACATGAGCTTCGGCCCCCAAACCAGCAAAGCCCCCGGCAAGCTCGTCTCACATCTCTTCCTTCCCTTTATCTCCCCAAGACCTTGGCACTCCAAACTCTTACCTTCCCCCAGATGAGGGCTTGCAGAGCTGGGACAGGATGTCTCTAGCCAGGGCTTTGCCCCTCTGCCCTCTGGGGAGGAAGTGGGGACCACCTCACATTGCCCATTGGAGGTGGAAGGGGCATCTGGCTGTCCCCTTTGCTGTGTAGATCCTCCCTCCTGCCTAAAGCCCACTCCACCACTCTCCTCCCACTGCCTAAGGTCGATGACTAGAATTGAACTCCATAGCCTGGATTCCTCTCTTCCTGTAGGATTGAAGGTGAACTGGGTCCGCCCTCTCCCCCATTGCAACCAACCACTGGACCAACAGCCTGCTCCTGCCTTTCCCGCTGTATCATTCAGCAGGCATCCACCCACAGCTGCTATGGTTCTACGCAGGGGTCCACCAGGGTCCTGGGTCAGCTGAGGCCCCCTCTCTCTCCAGCAGCCCCTGGGCTCAATGAAACACACCTGGTTAATTTGAGTTCTCCCCGCAGTGATTAATTTGGCGCTGGCCGCTGGTTAAGTCCTGAGTTTTCCTAAAGCAGTCCCCAAACTCAATTCTGAGGTAACCCAACATAGACTTCAGCCCACCACTGACCTTTTTCCAGGGGCAAATGCCCACCACGTGCTCCAGCGAATTCAATCCACGGTGTTGATTTGCCGGATGCGGGTTGGGGAAGCTAATCTGGGTGGTCCCGCACCCTCACCCCACTCACCCACAGCCAGCTCTCCCTCCCTCCCTCCCTCGACTCTCCAGTCAGTGGCCGGCTTAAGGAGGGGACATAAAGGGGACCTCGCACACAGTGGGGACGACCAACATTCCCGGGCCAAGGGAGATCCCATCTGGCCAGCCGGCCCACCATCCCCAAGGCCTCACCTGATCCGCCCAGGACCCCGACAGGCCCGCAAGTAGGTGGACAAAGAGCGCCTCATGCCTATGGCACCTACTGAATGAATGAATCAGTCCCAGTCATGGCGGAATGGGGGGGTGGGGGGTGGAGGAGACGCCCCCCACTAGCCCTTGGGCCAGCCTCCCACCTGTGGGTGCTTGCGTATTCCGGTGTCCCTGCTTGTCACCCTCGCCCCCTCACCTCAGCTAGGCAGGGAACTGGGCGAGGAGTGTCCTTCCTTGAGTCCCACGCACCCCACACTGTCCGGGCTCTGGACCGCTGGCGCTTCCCCAGGCGCCGGTCACCCGCTTACCTGTGGGAAAGCTTGGAGCGCCCCCAGGAGCAGCAGTCCCAGCGCGGCGCGGAGGGCGCACATCCCCGGGGCCGGGCAGGGGCTGGGCTGGCGGCCCGCGCCCACCTGGAAAGCGTGGGAAGCGCGCGGCGCCCACGTGCGGTCCTGGCTGCTCCCAGCTGAGCGCGTGGACCTCAGGCGCCCGCACACCTCCGCAGCTGCCACCTAGTCCGCACCCAACCGCGCACCGTGAAGTCACTTCAAAAGTGGCCGCTCCTTCTCCGAGGGTACAGCCTTAATTCTCCCCTATCAATTGGTTCCAGGAACACAGCTACTGAGCAGCAGCGGAGGAAAAAAGGGTGAAACTGAGATGACTCAGGAAAAGTCACGCCTCTTGTTATTTGAATGGCCCGCCCCGATTTGACGGAACGAGTGGTCCTGACTCTAGGGAATGTGCTGCCCACCGCACCTGGGCTGGGGGGGCGGAGGCAGGCAGCTTCTGGCCCTGGAGGTGGGAACTCACAGGGCATTAAGAGGCCCCAAGGGGCTCCCAATGCCTCCACCCCGACTCCCGCCCCAATAAACGGTGAAATGTAAGCAGTTTCCTGTCCCTGACACAGTTAGCCAGGACCTTCTCCTATGCCCTTGAGATTCTTTGGAAGGGACAACTAGCCTAGGGAGACTGCAGAAAAAGCAGCTATCACCCACCCATCCCCATTCATAAGCATTTGCTGTAAAATGAATCAGTGGGTGGATGATAAATTGGTGGGTGGATGATAAGTTGGTGGGTGGATGGATGGATGGACAGGTGAATGAGCAGGTGGGTGGGTGGGTAGGTGGGTGGGTGGATGGATGGATGGATGGATGGATGGATGGATGGATGGATAGGTGAATCAGCAGATGTATAAATGGGTAGATGAATAGGTAGATGGATGGGTGGATGGATGGGTGGATGGAATAAGTGGACGGGTAGATGGATGGATGAATGGGTGTATGGGTGGATGGATGGGTGAGTAGGTAGTTGGGTGGATGGGTACATGGGTAGATGGATGGATGCATGGGTGCATGGATGAGCAGCAAGTGAGTGGGTAAATGGGTGGGTGGATGGGTAGATGGATGAATGCACAGATGGATGGATAGATAGGTGGATGAGCAGGTGCGTAAATGGGTAGGTGAATATGTGGATGGGTGGATGCATGGATGGACGGATAAGTGGATGAGAAGGTGGGTAAATGGGTAGGTGAATACGTGGATGCATGGATGGATGGATGGATGGATGAGCAGCAGGTGAGTGGGTAAATGGGTGGGTGGATGGGTAGATGGATGGATAGATGGATGAATGGATGGATGCATGGATGGATGGAAGAGCAGCAGGTGAGTGGGTAAATGGGTGGGTGGATGGGTAGATCGATGGACTGAATGTTGGAGAGGGACTGATGGATGATAGATCATTTGATTTCCTTGACCCCTGATCCTTTAGAGTTTTCTTCCTAAAGGAGGTGACTGGCACTCTTACCTAAGAGAAATGATTCAAGCCTCTTTGTAATTATCTTCTCATTTGCTGGTGAATAATTTTCCCTTCCAGGGCATCCCCATCCCCTGGGTTTTCTCTTTGCTCCTTTCATTCCACATTGCACATATCTGTGTTGAGCATCTGCTGGGTGGGCCACAGGTCAAGGGTTCTTTTGACTGATTTTGTTTGGTTTTCAGATGTGAAAGCCAAGGCTCAGAAATAGGCAGGCAGTCCTAGGTGCTCTAATTAAGGGTAGATCAGTTATTTTCCCTGAGCCCAGAATAGCCTCAGGACCCTCTGGTTTCTGTGTCTGCCTTGGTCTGTCCTATAAGATACCAAGCCTCCATCGGGTGAAGGCCCTACAGAGTGGGAGTGGTAACCTCCCACCAGGAACTCCCCAGCAAGGTCTTCACAACTGACCACCCCACACTCAACCTTCCTAGAGCTGCTGGACTCCACTTGGGAAAATTGCTCCATCATGTCCCTTCCCAAGAGGCCCACTTCCAGACTCTCCCCTGGATGTACCAGGCCCAGTATCTTAGGCTGTTTGAACTGGGACTATGTTAAACAATGAGGTAAGCAATTATGGAAGTGACCTGCCTGTGATGGTGACAGAACCAGACAGGGACGGGAGGAACCCAAGATGCCTGCTTCCCAGTCTAGAGCTTTCTACTATAGAAGAGCTGGCAGCTGGGTGACATGGCTCACGCCTGTAATCCCAATACTTTGGGAGGCCATGATTGGAGAATCACTTGAGCCCAGTTTGATACCAGCCCAGGCAACAGAGCAAAACCCATCTCTATTTTTTGTTTAATTAAAAGAGACAGAGAGAGAGAGAGAGAGAGAGAGAGAGAGAGGCTGGTGTTCTGAATAAATAAATGAACAGCATCAAAATAGCTTTCACAAGGAGAAATACAAATAAAAATCAATTACAATTTTGTAAGTTTAGCCTTTCTAGTAATTGAAGAAATGCAAATTCAACCTTTCTTTGATAACGTTTTAGATCTATTCAATCATCACTTTTTTTTTTTTTTTTTTGCTTTATAAAAACAATTTTGGTAAATCCAACCCCAAAGTTGTGGTGAGACCAGAATACCCATTCATACTCTGCTGGTAAATGTTACAATCCTTTTCAGAAAGCAGTATGGCAATTCTTAGCAAAAGCCAAAAAAAAAATGTGCACTACTTGTGAGTGGCTTCGTAATTTCACCTCAGTGAAGAAAAACTAAGGAAATAACTGGAAAACTAGAAAAAAAGAAACCTATACACACATTATTTCAAATACTTATAAATAATGTATTTATCTATAAATATTTATAAATATTTGAAATACTCTGAGAGTTACAACAAGAAATGGTTAAGGAAATTGTGGTACATCTAATGGAATATTGCACATCCATTAAAAAGGATAAATCTATGGATGCTATGGAAATCTGCCTCTCCCTCAAATCCTTTCCTCCATGGGTTTCCAAAGAGACCTTTCTAGCACACATCTCTCCGCCAAGCCACTCCCATGTACAGAACCACTGCAGAGGTATGCTGTGGGTTTGGCCAGAGGACCATAAATTATTCAATTTATGATCATAATAACAGCTACCTTTGAATGCTTATTTTGTGCTAAGAGTTTTCAGGCATTGGTTTCTTGTATCCTCACAAAAAACTCCATAAACAAGATCCTACTTTTATGCCCATTTTCCAGGAAAAGAACCAAGGCACAGAGCAGCGGTACCCTGGGTCAGGGTCACCCAAATCCAAGGGTGCACAAGTCCGCTCACAGCCTGGCTGGGGCCGACTTCCCCTTGTGCCTTTTTACTTCTCCTGGACCTATACTCCAGCCAAATGTGCAGCCTTCTCACCCCTGCCAGGCTTTGCCACACTGGCCTCCACCTGGGATGCACACAGACTCCTGATCATCTTCCTAACCTGTTCCAATGCCACCTCCTCCTTGTTGCTTTCCTGGCACTGTCCCCTGCCCCCCAGCCCTCTTCCCAGTCAAAAAGTGGTTTCTGTCGTTTTTTGTGCTGCAATTCTGGAACTGATGTCATTGTGTCCTAACCAGAATGACTGGTTCATGCGTCCTTCTGCCCCAGGAAACTGAGTATTCCTGAGAACCAGAATTCCCCCATGGCACCTAGGAAAGTAGCTGACACACGGCTGCAAGTGGAGAGAAGGGCACATCTTGTGGCCAGGGATCCCGCTGGATCCCAGGGGGAGTTGGACTGGTAGCAGCCAAGAAAAACAGCCATTATGGGACTCTTAAGAGCAGGCAGTGGACAGAGCCCCTGGGTGCTCTCGGCAGGTTTCAGGCGGTGTGAAAGTGCTTTGAAGAGGGGAAGGGGAAGTCCCTAGGCTCTGTGCAAGGTACAGCAGCAGTCCTTGTTGTGGGGTCACAGGGGCCCTCCAGAGCAAGCTGTGGAAGGAAGCCAAGCCCCTGGGAGCAGGTAGTGTTTACTTGAATGGTCTCAGCTCAGCGGGCTTCTTGGAGGAAGGGTAAGGAAGGTGAATGCAGCAGGAAGCTGTTCAAGAGGAACGGGGAATCCGTGTCACCAAAGGGATGCTGAGCAAGACACAGGTCCCAACTTGGTTCAGGAAATTCAGGGACTTCCCCAACAGCTGGGAACCCAAGTCCCAGGTGGCCCCAAAATACCCTTAGCAGATAAAGAATTCTTTCTGCCCTAGGCAGCAGCAGGCAGGTAGGACGCTGGAAATCAGAGAGGGGGAGGCCTCAGCCTTTCTTCTTTGATGGGTCCAGGTGTACCTTTTTTTTTTTTTTTTTTTTGAGATGGAGTCTCACTCTGTTACCCAGGCTGGAATGCAGTGGCATAATCTCGGCTCACTGCAACCTCCGCCTCCCGAGTTCAAACGATTCTTGTGCTCAGCCTCCCAGGTAGCTAGGATTACTGGCGTGGATCACTGCACTCAGCTAATTCTTGTATTTTTAGTAGTTTCACCATGTTGGCCAGCCTGGTCTTGAACTCCTGATCTCGTGATCCACCTGCCTTGGTCTCCCAAAGTGCTGGGATTACAGGCGAGAGCCACCACACCCGGCCACAGATGCACCTTTTCTGAGCAACTTTCTTGGGAGCCTTGGTAGCAGGAAGACTCCCCATTTAAGCTTCTTTGGGTCACCCTTGGCTTCCGCTGGTTCTAATCAGCAAGACCCATGTCAGGCTTCCTCCCACTCACACCCCCAGATCTCCCTGCCCTTCCAAAGCACCAACATTAGGGGTTCTCAGCCATTGGGTAGACCCCAGCAATGCACACCCACAAGCAGGACACCCCGAGATCAAGCCTGGTTGGAAACTAAGCAAAGGGTTATTGGCTCTCCAGAACTGGGATTTTTGTGCCCCTTCCCATGGACAGAAGGGAAAGCTGTGAGGCCCTCCAGGACGCTTGGAGATTCTCCACAGTAACACTAACAGTGTCATTTATTGAGCACCTGCTGGGTACCAGGCCCTTGGTCAGACATTTAATCCTGGCACCAAGATTTCAAGTCAGTATCGCTGTCTCCACTTTATAAATGAGCAAACTGAGGCTCAAAGTAGTTGAGTCACTTGCCTGAGGTCGCACAGCATGAGGGTGGTAGGGCTAGGATTTTACTCCAACCTGTCTGACTCTGAAGTCTCAGCTGCCTTCTCTTCCCTCCCCAGGCCTCGCTCACCCTTGCTTTCCCCAGGAGAAAGAGCACTGGTATGTAAGTCCTGGTTTGGCCATGTGACTTTAGGAAGTCACTTCTCCTCTCCGAATGTATTAGTATCTATTGCCGTGTGCATCAAAACCTAGTGGCTGAAAACAAC